AAAAGTTTTTTAACCCTTTCATGCCAGGAGTACCTGTATATATACTTCATCCACAGTGCTTTTGTTTTACTAATTTCTTTAACACACATGGTTTGAGAAATATTTACTCATCAAGAAACCATTTACTTAGCCTATCTGACCTCCCCTTTTTACTCTATTCCTTTAATTTTTTGGAAGAAGCTTTCTATTCTTATCACTAATACTATAATTAATACCATCAAAATAACAAAAGTGAGAGTAATTGTAACAGCAGTGATAATAACAATATCAGTAATAACAATATTTTCTTTTTTTTTTACTAGAATTTAAGGGATGGGGTAAACAAGTTACTTTAGGTACACCTAGTTATTGATTCCTTGGTGAATAAGTACTTGTACAGTCATTTATGTATAAACAATATTAATAAAACAAAACTACACACACAATGTATATATATATATATGTACATCGCACCAAAGGGTTAATTAAAATGCAGTTTTAGAGAAAAAGTATATATACATAGAAATAAAAAAAGCTCTCTTTAAATAGAAAGGGTATATATATATATATATATATATATATATATATATATATATATATATATATATATATGTACATCGCACCAAAGGGTTAATTAAAATGCAGTTTTAGAGAAAAAGTATATATACATAGAAATAAAAAAAGCTCTCTTTAAATAGCAAGATGAAAACTAAAATAATTTCTTACTTTGAAAAACTAACAAAGGAAAAGATGCAGGTGAAGGTTTGGCGTTATCTGAGATGTTGGGAGAGGAAATTCATTGAGAAAAAAGGAAACGGAGTTGAATGTACATCATCTTTGATGTTAAAAAAGGCAATAGCAATTGTAATTTTTTACTCAAGGATATAATTGATGATAGTTATCAATTTTTCACTAAAAAAATTAAAAGTGATAAAATTTTCCATGTATAAAAATAAAATCAGTGTCAATCAAATATTTTTTTAAACCTGTGAGCAAACTATAAAAACATAATTTGCAGGAAACAAATTAAAGCTTTAAACAGAACTGACTGGGGATACCAAAGAAAATAACATATCAGTGATTGTGAAGAAGCTTGTGTACAAACACGTGGCTTTCTATTTAAAGGCTTAGGCATCTATGAAAGATATGATTTCATTGATAGAGGCAGTAAAAGAAAGAACCATTTATGTCCTGTAGTTCCAGAATCTTGTAATTTAATAGGCTAAAATTCTATGTGAAAACTGTACATATATATGAAAAGTGGAACTATAAAGCATTATATAACAGGGAAGCAAAGATTTACATAAAAATCTCACACAATTAGGAATCAATATTAATTGCATATAATTTCTAAAGAAAATCAGTCATTCCTTAAGAGAGTTGAGTGTTCTTTGACATAGATAATATATCTTTAAAACGAATACAATGTATATCTATTTATCTATCAACACACAGTGTTAATATTAGTACTATGACTATTCAATGAATTTGCCTAATATATCCTGCCTTGTAACATACGTAAGACAATGGCTGCATCCAGATCATAGAATCAATGCAACTTAAGGAACCAAGGATAATAATATGAACATATATAAAATAGGCTAAAAATGAGGATTACCTTTCTAGCCTACTGGCTTTGGCTATATTCCCCATATCAATAATAACTCATAACAACTAATAGAAAAGAATAATAAAAATAAAAATACAACATACTTGAGTACTCTTCTGAAATTATAATTCTAAACAAATAACACAAAACCTAGCTACAATTACCATCAACCATTTCCAACTTACTTTTCTCCATCAGGAAGAGATATCCTTGTCGAGTGTACATTTTGTCCATGTTCCCTGGATCCATTGATTTCTGCAGATATTGCAATATTATTAGAGGCTAGAATTAAAGATCAATAATAGTTAAAAGTTAATCAATCAGTAAACTATAAATAATCATCAGCCTTACTAATTCTGTGGGATTCGTCCCCTTAAAAAAAAACTTTCATACAGGAAAACAATGCAAAATACAATACGAAAAGTAAAGCCCTAAATTTCTATCAAAAATAAGTACCTGAAAGGAAATCAGTGAAAAATATAAAACAATGATAATAAATGAAAAATAAATTGCCTATCACTACCTTCATACAAGGTGCATTTCTCTTTCTCTTCTGTGACTACCTTTTTTTCCTACTGATTTTACAAACTACTGTGAAAATCCTTAGTACATCTGACAGTTGATCAACCCATTAGTTCAAAGTACAATTAAAAGTCTCACTGGTATGAGTGACAATGCATTATATTCGTTAATGTTTTAAAAGTATAAATGAAGAGATAACAACTTTATTTGAAAGTCACCTCTTTCCTAATTAAATAGGTATTACACTACTGTTTTACTCAATCTACCAGCAAAAAAGCTTGTGTATCATGCAATTCCTTGCAAAAAATCACAAGAATTTGTTTTTTGATTTTGTGAAAAAATATTTTTCAGTCTTTAATCAAATGTTTTAACTAAACCTGGGTACCTAACATTAGAATAGCACAAAACAATCTCTGAATAATATAAGTGATAAATTTAAGAGATAAAATCCCTTGTGGAACTTCTTAGGGAAAGTTCTGGCCATACAGGAATAGACAGGGGAAGAAGACTGACTGGCAGCACGGCAAAACAACACTGTCAAAATCAACATGTAAATTAGTGCAGGAGAGGCTTACATATATAGACACAGGGAGACATAATCAAAATTACATAAAATCATGATCCCTTACATTAGATTATTTGCCGTCATCCAACATAAAATAAAACTGAAGTGGTTAATCAACAAATTAATAAACAAACGGCCCACATATAATCTTCATTGGTAAGGGTAAAACTGAAAACTATTTATTGTACTAACATAATGTACTTAAAGTTATGAGGAGACTTTTAATCACTGAACATATCATCAAGGAAAATGACAAGATTATTTGAATATTCACCAAGAGGAGATAGTAAAGCCATCATATATCCCAGTGTTATGAACTCAAGTGTAAAGGTGGTTTGTATTATTATTAGTCATTTAATAAGAAATATTGCATTACACCACTAATATCTATAACGGTTAACTGATATCTACCCATTCTAAACTCAAGTAATATTTCTAAAGAGGCACCATTAAAGGGTGGCATTGATAAAATTAGAGAGTAGTGCTCCAAAACCATACTGCTGTAAGAAACTTTCCACTGCAGTAAAATAAAATTGTTAATACAAGTTGTTTCTGGCATGCAAATTAATACATAAAAAAATCATAATAATCAGACCAAAAAAAAATTCATTCTTTAAAGCTTTGAGAATCTAAAAGGTTTTAACATCAATCAAGTGTACCACAGGAAACTGGTGAAGACGCATGTTCTGTTCACCATTAGCGATGCATACAGGATGACCTACAAAAGAACACATGCTTTTTACCTGAAAAACAAGCTGGAAAAGGGGCAAGACCATTAATCAAATAATGCAGTTGATTCTACTATATTTAAAAAGCACTAATGATCCTTGATCAAAAGTAACCTCATATAAACAGATCAGCAACCAAAGGTAAACTAAAGTTGGGATTAAACTTTAAGGTTTAATTATAAGTAAAAAAAACTAAGATTAATCAATATTAGACAAAATAAATATGTTAAACTTCTATAAACAAACAAAATGTCAGACCAAAACCACTACTAATACAAGACAGCTCAATGCAGTTACCATACAACAATAACAGTAAAATACACAGGCTACATAGCAACAAGCCCCACTGATACCTTGCCACACACTCTGGCTGGCATATCAAACTCAGCATACAGTAATTTTGACCGCATCAGTTCCTCAATAAATTTCTCTGACAATTTTGAATCTCAATCTTTGGTAATAATTAATTCTGTGTATAGGAAATAATTTACTCTTGCTTTCACAGATAAATGTATCTGTGACTATCATTATTGATATAAAATAAATGTTAGCTTTTAAATGTGATAAAATTGTACATAATTCATCAGTCTTTTTCAGTACATATCCATAAGAATACAAAAAACAAGTAGGAACCTGATCAAAGCATACATATACATCTATTTTCATTTCTTAAATGAAAACATACAATGATACAGACAGTTTTACAAGTAATTGTATGTGGCAAAATTTTAACTAGAAATGTATCATGCAAATTCTTCATAAATACCAATTTGCTTATTTTAATCTTCATAATACCAGGTACAGAGTGTGTGCTTAGGCAGGTGTGAGTTAGTGAGAAGCAGCGGAGACACATTACCGTCTTACGCACCTCCAGCATCTTGTTCTTCAGGGAAACTGACTCTTGGCGGGTTGCTAAGAAGTTCTCTCGGGTCTGAAGGGTGGAAGTTATGTCCACAGGCAGGTCGGTACAGAATGATATAAAAAGAATATGAGTTACATTTCATGGGCATGCTTGGTTTCTTAAAAAATCTCCCATAAGATATATGAAACTCAAAAATTGTTAAATATTGGACCACGTTCTATACATATAAAATCTCGAGACACATAAATATACCATTATTTCATATCAAATATTATTCTAAAAAAATTCTAAATACTCTTTTCAAGACTAACCCTTTGTACTCGAACTTGTAGATTACGCATGTAAGGGCTACAGTCATTGAACACTTCGTGGCCTTGATGATAGAATGTCAACCAACTATACATGTAACTCAATAACTGTGGGGAAGAGTGAGTGAGTGAATGAATAAATCAATGAAGTAATAGCCACAGATAAATCCACAAGTAAATACTTAATACATAACTTAGTTCAGTTTAAAACAATTTCTTGAATATTCATTTTGAATAACATTAAATCAAACAATTATAGCAAATCATGAAACAACCAAATCAAAAACTTTGTATCCATTGCATCTGTCAGTTCTAATAGGCCTAAATTCTTATATTTTGTTTAGCATTTTGCCTTTCAACTTTTCAATTTATCAATTTCAGGTCTTCAATTAACAAATCAATTACTGAATTATTCTACACCAACTCCTTGTTATATGGCTAAACCTCACAATACAAATAAAACTCTTATTATGCACTCTTATTATCACAAGAACAAATTCAACTTGTTTTCAATCGTGAAGCACAAAAAAAAATTCAGAATAAGTTTTAAAATATTACCGTTTCCACAAACTCAAACTTCTTCCTTTCCTGAACCTCCTGCAGCAGAAATACGTAGTCAAGTGAGGCGTGCACAAAGTGCCGCTGTTCCATCTCCACTGAAGCATCAGCCTGCAAAGAAAAACAATTGTTGTAGTTGTAATGAAGTAAATTATCAAAGGAACAAACAACTTCAACTTCTTGTCAACACAGTAAATGGTATACTAAAAACAGTTTCCTCATGGGGTTATTGATTTCTCATAATTCTTTTGGAAGTCAATACACAATCATTAAAAAGAATATTAGCCAAAACTGAGGTTAATAAAAATAAAGGGAGCAAGTGATATCTAAAGTAACCTATTCTCACAGAACTTATACAAATAATGATACAGTAACACATGTATATGTGAAAAATTCTAAGAAATAATAATAATAATAATAATAATAATAATAATAATAATAATAATAATAACAGTAATAATAATAATATATATACATATACACATATATTTATGTCTTTTGTGTGTGTGTGTGTGTGTGTGTGTGTGTGTGTGTGTGTGTGTGTGTGTGTGTGTGTGTGTGTGTGTGTGTGTGTGTGTGTGTGTGTGTGTGTGTGTGTGTGTGTGTGTGTGTGTGTGTGTGTGTATGTATATGTATGTGTGTAGTATATGTATGTATGTATGTATGTATGTATGTGTGTGTGTGTGTGTGTGTGTGTGTGTGTGTGTGTGTGTGTGTGTGTGTGTGTGTGTGTGTGTGTGTGTTGTGTGTGTGTGTGTGTGTGTGTGTGTGTGTGTGTGTGTGTGTGTGTGTGTGTGTGTGTGTGTGTGTGTGTGTGTGTGTGTGTGTGTGTGTGTGTGTGTGTGTGTGTGTGTGTGTGTGTGTATGTATGTGTGTGTGTGTGTGTGTGTGTGTGTGTATGTGTGTGTGTGTATGTGTGTGTGTATGTATGTGTCTGTATGTATGTGTCTGTATGTATGTGTCTGTATGTATGTGTCTGTATGTATGTGTTTGTATGTATGTGTCTGTATGTCTGTGTGTATGTATGTGTCTGTATGTATGTATGTGTGTCTGTGTGTGTCTGTGTGTCTGTCTGTCTGTCTGTCTGTCTGTCTGTCTGTCTGTCTGTCTGTCTGTCTGTCTGTCTGTCTGTCTGTCTGTCTGTCTGTCTGTCTGTATGTATATGTATATGTATATGTATATGTATATGTATATGTATATGTATATGTATATGTATATGTATATGTATATGTATATGCATATGCATATGCATATGCATATGCATATGCATATGCATATGTATGTATATGTATGTATATGTAATATATATGGACAAAACTTGCAACACATTTATCTTTTCTGATTAATCATCCAAGGTTTAAACTACATGTATATGCATATTGAAAGTCTCCAACATGATTCTCTGTTTGCTTTTTAAAAACAAACGTATTTTTTGCCTCTTCGCTTGATAGAGTAAAATGGCATTATAATATTTCCTGAATACATTGATATTGCTGGATATGTACGGTAGTCAGTCATTGGAGGAACCCAATGTATAAGATTTTATTTATGAAATCATACGACAGTTACTGATCATGGTGATATCGGTTGAAATTGTGGTATCAGTGCGGGTGCTGATAACCCAAAAGGTGGCAACTCGGCAAGATATTGGAGTCGATACAGGAATAACTATGAAAACTGTGAATAGCGATAAAGCCACTAATTGAGCCAATCTGCATGGTTTTGACGCACATGGTAATTGTAATAAGAAGAGTAATTCATCTACACTGATAATCTTAACCGATGGTAGTTGAACAGCATGAGGGGAGAAAGGGAAAGATGGGGTGCTGTTTCAGAAATGGCGTCGGCGGCAGCGAGAACGTGGAAACACAACACCTGAACTGAAAGGAGGTTGCGGCCTCTATTCTCTCGCCGGGATTTCCTCTTTGTTGGTCTCGGCCACGGGGGAGAAGGCTCTTCTTTCTCTCCATGTTGCCAAAGCCAACTCTCTCCCTTTCTTCCTCCGCCCGGACGAGCCCGCTTCTCATCAGCGCCCGCCCTCTCATCAACTTTATCCCGCTACGTTTTTCTTTTCTTCTCGATATCTTCAAGGTACTTTCCCCAAACCATATCGAGCTCTCAGCTCGCGTTCCCCGCCCTAGAGCGTTTCGGATGTCATAGGAAACACTTCCCAGAAGATATTTAATTAGGAATAACGGTTTCATTCACTGTGGCATAGCATCTCAACCCCTAAAAATATATAAGCATTAGCGCCTTACGACACATTTGGCCCTGCAATATAAACACCGTAAAAGTTCCCCAGAGTGGCATCCCCTGCACCCCCTCCCCCGCCCCTCCACACGAGAACTAACATTTCCTCGGGAACTCCGGCAGAAGTTAGGAAAAGGTGCAGGCATTAAATTGCATTTATTTGTTTTAGTGACACCAGTTGTTTCTTTGTTTCGTTATTCTTGCGAGATATCAGTACTAATCCATGCCAAAAATACTAATTACCTTCACCTTTTCATTTATCAATCTTTTCAACTTTCCAATTATCTGTCTTTTTTGGCTTTTCACTGAAGCTAATCTTCGCAAATCTAATTGAACTGAATTCACTGATTTACACTTTTCACATTTTCATTCCTTACAACATATCCACTTGTACAGGATTATATTTACTTCCAAATCCAATTCAAAAGTTAAATACACATCTGAAAATCGCACATTTGTTGATAAAGTGAAAATTACCGAGAATGCCTCCGCTGCCAAGAATGACAAAATGAGTTAAAGTGAGCTTTTTCGAATGAAATGAAACTCTTCTAAAGTGGAGCCTGTCTCTGTCTCTGTCTCTGTCTGTCTGTCTGTCTGTCTGTCTGTCTGTCTGTCTGTCTGTCTGTCTGTCTGTCTGTCTGTCTGTCTGTCTGTCTGTCTGCTGTCTGTCTGTGCTGTCTGTGCTGTCTGTCTCTGTCTGTCTGCCTGCCTGCCTGCCTGCCTGCCTGCCTGCCTGCCTGCCTGCCTGCCTGCCTTGCCTGCAGTGAGTGAAATTATCTTCTTTCTTCACAAAATAGAAGGTAAATTTATTTCTGCTCTCCCGTAAAGGGCGCAAAAATAGTTTTCTGATTCAGCTTTAAAAAACTGAGCTTACACCATAGAGAGTCATTAGACGAAAGACCACACCGTACAAGTAAGCTGCATCGATAAAGCACAAATGAATACGTCATTATCGAGATTCCAGTAATATACGAACTTTTCGGTTTCTGAGCGAGATATTTGATTATGAATACCAAAGCCAAAATAGAATCCTTCCCCGCTATAATAGCCTCCCAATTTTCTTTTCTAATCCTCCTCCGTTTTCTTAATTTATTCTTTCTTCTACTCCTCATTCTCCCACTGCCTCTCTCACTCTCACTCCCACCCCTACCCCACCCCAACTCGCACTCCCACTCCCTCTTCCACTTCTCCCCCTCTCTACTTTCCCCTTCTTCCTCCTCTTCCTCCTCCTCTTTCCCTTCTTCCTCTTCCTCCTCCTCTTTCCCTTCTTCCTCCGTAAACTCTCTGTAGCGATCCCAGAGTTAATGACCTTCCACAGCCACCAGTATCGCGCTACAGTCCGACCTTTATCGGCATCTTCGATCAAGCATCCCCTCCCCCCCCCCCCCTTCTCCCTAACCCACCCACATCCTCACCCTTCTTCCTTACCCCACCCCTCTCCCAGCCTCCTTCTTTACCCACCTCCTCCCTCCTTCCCCTCCTTCCTTCCTTCCTTGCCCATCCCCTCCATCACCCTCCTTCCTCACTCAGCCCACCTCTTCCTTACCCCTCCTCCCTTACCCACCTTTCCCCTACCCTCCTTCTTTAACCATCCCTCCCCCTCCCCCACCCTCCTCCCTTAACCCACCCGTCTCTCCTCCCTTAGCCACCCCCACCCCGGCCATAACTCCGGATCATCAGACCTACAGCAGCCCTCGCTACCGCCCTTACTAAGCCCTTTTTCCAGCCTGTGTATGGCTTCCAGACCTACGTCTCTTACCTCTTACCGCCCCCTTCTCTCGCCCTCCCCCTCCCCTTCACGCCCCTCCCACTCCCCTTTCTCGCCCCTCCCTCCTCTCCCTCTCCCCTACCGATGCTCCTCTGGGCACCCTTACTACCCTCTATAAAAGCAGGAACAAAATGTCAACCCGCAGTAAAAGAGCAATAATGCAACGATGGCCGCTAGTTTGCTTCGTTCCTCGTAGCAAGGTGGAGGACGAGCACGGAAGGGCAGAGGTCGAGGACGAGGGGGAAGGGCAGAGGTCGAGACGAGGGGAAGGCAGAGGTCGAGGACGAGGGGGAAGGGCAGAGGTCGAGGACGAGGGGGAAGGGCAGAGGTCGAGGACGAGGGGGAAGGGCAGAGGTCGAGGACGAGGGGGAAGGGCAAGAGGCGAGGAGTCGAGGACGAGGGGAAGGGCAGAGGTCGAGGTCGACAGAGGGAGGAAGGGCAGAGGTGAGATTCTGAGGTCGAGGGAGGTCGAGTTTTCGAGTGAGGTGCGAGGGGGAAGAGCACAGGTGAATGACGAGGAGGGAGGAAGATAGGGTGAGAGGGGGAGAGAGGAGTGAGAGAATTGGGAGAGGGGAGGAGAGGGGAAGAAAGAGAAAGTAACTAGAAAGACATCTCGAAAGCCCCTCGGGACAATACGAAGGACTTATCACCGAGTCTTGAAAACTCGAGTGATCTAACGAAAAAAAAAACTGGAGAATCCGTAGCTATACCTGCCAGGGATGAGATGGAGGGAGGGAAAAGGACAGGCGGAGGCAGAGAGAGAGGGAAAGGGAAAGGAAAAGGGAGAGGGAGAAGAAGGGGAGGGAGAGAGAAAGGAAAAGGCGGAGGAAGAGGGAGAAGGAGAGAGAGAAATTCTGGCATGATTCCCCTCGCGGCGAGCTGTGCGGGCGGAGAGCGCGGAGGCCTAGCGTTGTTTTGGACGGGTTGTCATGGCCACCTCCGGGACGGCGCGGCGGCGCTCCTGCCGTCCTCTCCCCCTTTGGCCGAGATTATCAATTTCCACGTCCAGCCAAGGGTAAACTTATTGGAAGGGTGAGAAGGGAGAGAGAGAAGAAGGGAGGGATAAACAAGTAGGGGGTGCAAACGGCGGGAA